CATTGTTTCACATGAGAGAAGAGAATAAAGAAAAACAAAATATCCAGTGGGGCTGATGAATCTAGTAGGGGCAGGCTGGGGTTATGGGGGAGAATGGGGGTAGGGAAGAAGGAGGCTGAAGCTCACTGAGCTACAGCACCACAGGGAAAAAAACTGGGAGGCCTATGCTTTGAGAATGTGAGGGAGGGGGAACACACACACACACACACACGGCTGGGGAAACTTGAGTTGGCTTACTCAGTCACACAACAAACACCAAGGCAGGGGGAGTGGACCACAGGACTTGCCACACAAGGGCAAGAACACACAGGGAAGGCTGCTGAGGCAGATGTAAAAGATGGCTGGAGCAGTGGAGGGGCTTTGTTTGTTGAGGATCTGTCCAGAAGTCCCTCAGGCCTCCAACCAGGCACTCAGCAGTAGAACAGTAGGCAGGAAGACAAAGCAGGATCAGATGCAGTGAGGTAGCTGTTGGGGAGGGCAGGAGCAGTCAGTTAAGTAGGAAGTAATTCAGTGCAGGTGTTGTGTTGAGTGGTGCAAGGTGGTGCAGCAGGGAATCTTTCTGTCTCCTGAGAGGGGGCAGCAGCAGAAACAATGGCAGCAACTGCAGCAACAGGAGCAGTGATGGGGGGAGCCGTCCAGTTCAGCCACTCAGGGTGTGATTCTGGTGAAAGTGTAGGTGAAGGTGCGGGTGGCTTGCCAAGGCAGCTGGGGCAGGTGAGGCACCTTTAGACTCCAGCAGTGATGGTGGGGAAGGAGGGGCCTACAGGCAGTGCAGGCTCCCTTGCCAGGCTGTCCCCCAACCACAGATTGGCAGCAGTCTGGGCAGCAGGCCGGAACAGGGGTGCAGAAGCTGGGGTGCAGCGCTGGGGTGTGGTGCAGTCCAGTGAGCCCCTACCCAAGGAGGGGCAGCAGCATGCAGCAGAGGACCCCCCATGGGGGGGCAGCAACAGCAGCAGCAGCCCAAGGCAGGAAGGGATGCAGCCAACTCACTCCCAAAATCTCTGAGACCAAGCCAGCAGCTAGCAGTAACCAGAGGCAGGAAAGGGCCTGGCCGTCTTCTCCCAAGAAGTGCCTGAGACCAAGCCTGGGATAGGAAGGGGTGTGGCCAACTTCCTCCCAGAGTCTCCTCCCCCAGAAACTCCTGAGGGCAAGTAGCCCTGAGCTACTTGACAGGGCACCTTTTTGTACTGATAGGGCCAGGACAGGGCACCTTTTTATACTGCTGTGGACAGCACAGGTGCTGGTCCCAGGCTCTAGCTCCCCCTGGCTGCAAATCCAGGAGGACTTGGGCAGGGTTATTTTGCCCCAAGTGGCACAATTTGCCCCACACCAAAGTGCATGTCTGGGCACGTGCGCTGAGGCAAAAAGCCCCAGCTCAAATTTGCACAGCTTCTATCTGAGCTGCTGCAAGTGCATGTGCTTGCATGTGTGGATGCGCCCTATGGCTCCAAGGTCCATGAGTGTGAGTTGATCAGCATGTACACCCCCCAGTATTGCAGTAGGTCCCCTACAAAGGATATCACCATGCCAGCAATTTTGGATTCTGGGCTGGCTGCCAGTTTGCATATCTGGCTCATATACTTAGCCTAGAAGAACAGCAGGATGGCCAGAATACCTCATCCCTTAGTCTGTTTCATTTCATCCAGCATGGTTCTCTCAACCTTATCCTACCTGGAGCCCCAGAAGAAGGTGAACATGACCCTCGGAACTCTACAGGTGGGTTGCTCTGTGCAGGGGAAGACCAGCACAGTGTACAGAAGCACTGGAGCAACACTGTCATCATAAACACCATTGCCCTCCCCCCCACTCCCCCATCAACAGGCAGTGCATGTTCCATAGTCCCAGTCTCTGTTTTACCTTGGCCTCAGCCTTCTCCCACACTTTCTGGCCTCTTAGCTCTGGGTTGAACTCCACCCTGATGATCTTTACCTGCTCACAGGGGATGGAGCCCCCCAGGGCAGGTCCCTGAGCTTGCCCAGTACTAGGTAGGTGCTCTTGCTCATGTTGAGCTTGATCCCTGCTGCTGCTCTGTACAGCTGGGCATGTTGCAGCACTCTTTCCACTGACCACTTGTCCCTGCATAGGATGTTGAGGTCATCCACGTAGGACAGGACTTTTGTCTCTGCCCCACTGCCCATGTGGTTCTCCACTCCATGGATCCCTGGGCTTCTCCTGAGCTGATGGACCAATGTTTCCTGTCATAGTGGGGAATACCCTGCTGAGCAATACCAGAGGGGTGAGGCCCCGAGAGGCACCCCTGCCGGATCCCAGAAGTGGGGTGTGGATGCCATTAAGCTCCCTGGGACCTGGGACTTACCTGCAGGGCAGATGGCGACACAGACAGGAGAGCTCCTGGCACCACATCTGCCTCATTTTACCAGCTTGTGCTGGGTGCGGCACATTGGGGAAGATGTCACAAGAATCCGCCCCATGCTGGCAGAAAGGGGAGAGACTGGGACCATGGCTGGAGGAGTGTGGAACCTGGCTTCAAGATGCCCCAGTAGGGATGAAGTTAGCAGAGTTGGAGCCTGCTCGCCAGGCTAGAGGCTCAGATGAACCTCTAGCCCTAGGGACCTCTCCCCATGGAGAGGAGCAATAGCCCATCACACAAGCAATAGGTGATGGGTAAAGCCCCAGAGGAACATCGCCTTCCCTAATGAGACAGCCAGAGTAGCAACTATGAGTCTGTTCCAGGAGGGGATCTGGGGTCCTGTCATTACTATGAGTGCGGCAGTTAAAGGCATGCTGGGTTGACCCCGCCAGGTGTAGAGGCTGAAGGCCAATGAACAGTGTTGGGAGACTGAAGCATTAAGCCCTGGCCAGTAATTCCTTAGAGAGTGGAGGGAAAAAGGGACAGAACTTATCAGCAGGCCTAGGGGCAAGAAAAGGGGCTTGACATTGCTAGGCTGTGCAAAGCGGAGAAGACCCGACACCCCGTGGAGAGTCCAGACATGGATGGCTTGGCTGGTCAGACCAACTGTATTGCAAGTGATGATGGATTTGGACACCCATGGTTGACAGAAACCCATGTGGTTGCAGGGTAGTGACCCAAAACAAAGTTGGGAAAGACTCTAACTGATTGAGATCACTAGCTGGACACAAGCCGAGCTAATTCAGTGGTCTGCTGACTGTGCCTTCCTTCCACCAGATGGTCAGCAGCCTGGCTATTCTATAAGATGTGGTTGGTGCATGGATAGGGTGCAAGGGAAGATGGATCTGGAGGACCAGTGACCCAAGATATTCATGAGGAAGAACTCAAGCAGCCAAAGGATCCTCCCCTTCTATTAAAAAAATCAAGAGGTGGAAGGCGAGACAGAGGGTGTACCTATGAGCAAGAGTGAGCAGTCCTAAGAACTGGCACCCAACAGATGGGAGTGCCTGGTCCTTGCAGCAGAGCTGAGTTGGGCACAATCACTGACGGTTCCATTACGCAGATCAACTGCTGCCCAGCTGGGTGGTGTGTGGGACTTGGGGGCCACAATGCGTGGACGCAGGGCTTTGGTGGGGAGTGGGACAGGGCTGCAGGCAGCTCATCGGAGGGGGGGGCTGTTCCTTGTTGCCGTGCACTCCTGGGAGGGTAGGGGGAAGGTCTGTGTCTCCCAGACCTGTATGTGGGGTGGGGGTGGGGTGGGCTGCCTGCTGCAGGCTTGGGTTCCCCACCCCGCTGCCCTCCCCTGGGGCCTCCGCACCGGCAGGTGTGACCCAGTGCTGCAGGGCAGAGTGGAGGCGCACAGGAAAGCTGCTTGCCACTATGAGCTCTGTGCTGCCTTGGCGAGGTGCCCCCTGCCTGCCTGCCTGGCAGCAGAGAGGGGCACAACCCTGTGCCACTGCCTCTGCTGCACCCACACTTGCTGCCACGGTAATGTGGAGCTCGCAGCGGCAAGCAGCTTTCCTGTGCAGCCCTGATCTGCCCTGTAGTGCCAGGTTACACCCTCTGGGCTGCGAAGGCCCTCGGGGAGGGCAGCAAGACAGGAGTCTGAGCCCACAGTGGGCAGCTCGCCCCCACTCTGTGCATCTGGGGGGCATGAGCCTCCCTACCCTCTGAGAGTGTGTGCAGCCCCTGGGAGCGGGCCCCACCTCCCACCCAAGCCTGCAGCAGGCAGCAGGTTGGGAGTCAGGCTTCACTCTGCTGCAGCAGCTGCTGCCTCCTGCCTGGAGAGGGCTGTGAACCCAGGTCCCTGGCCCCATAGCCCTGGCAGCTGGGGCCCCCCTCCAGCAGGACTGGGGGAGCAGGGGCTGTGGGTGGGGGGCGAGGGGCACCAGCAAGGCCAAGGGGGACTATGGGAGAAGAGTGAGGGGGATGTGCAGACCTGGGAGGCTGTGGGAGGGGAGTGTGGGGCACCAGCAGGAGTGGGGGGCTGTGGGTACAGAGAGAGGGCACCAGCAGGTGTGGGGGGGTGGGGATTGTGGGGGGCCTTTCATTTTATTTTTATCAGAGAATTTGTCAGTTTTTAGGATCCCTGCTAATAATACAGCCCTCTGCTTCTCTTGCCTCTTATGTCGTAGGTCCACTAGGAAGTTTAACTCTACCAGGTGCTACCAAACCCCAGCAGGACCATTTGGAAATGGAGGATTGACTGCCAAAGTGCAATACAGTCTTCTCTGCTCCCTCATTGACTTCAGTGGAACTACTCACATGATAAGTACTTTGTGAAATAAGGACTAATGCATACATGTATTATGTAGGCAGTATAAAGCATATGAAGTCTGTTCATTCTCTAGCTTTTAAATGTATGGGTTTCATAAATGGTGTGAAAAATAATATTCATGTATTTACTTCACAGTCATAAGTTTTAACATGTCTCAAATTGTGTTTTTGTGCTATTTCTAACTGAGTGTACAACTGCCTACCAAAGTTAGATAAAACTGCCAGACGCTCAAGAAAGATGGCAACTAAGGCTCACTAATGAAGTGCTGTTCTTGAACTCTTTATTATATTGTGCTGTCTCAGAATCTCTTCAAGCTCTTGTGCATATTTAACAATAAGTCATAAAACCATATGCAAATTAAGCAATTTTATTGATTAATGAATTTAAGCTGTCAAAGCAAAACATATATTGGTACTGGTTAGCAAAACAAGATTGAAGCAGAACTTCGCTGAAAAATTGTGTGCACAGATGACAGAATCAGAGTGTTCGAAGGGTGTTGAACACAAAATAGGTCTCTTCAGCTGGTCATGTGGAAATATTCAGTCTTCCCAGCAGAGTAAAGTACTTGTATTCTGCCACTCAGTTCAAATTATCTTAAAGCTTTTCTCATGAGTTTGATTTTATTTTGCTTATTTATTTTATTATAGAAAGGGAAACAAATGAGAGGGAACATCTTGTTTATGTGAAAAGCTGCCTATTTGAATAACTGAACTCAGTTATACCCCAACTCTTTTTTTCCCTACAGTCTGCAGTCCCTGATGAACCGGGAGACATCCGTTCCTTTGCAGTGGTTCCTCCATGCTACCCTGTGGAAGGAAAAATAATGTTAACTGATAATGGCAAACTCAGCACTTAGTCAAAAGCCCCCAAGGGGGAAAAATTTAATGACCTTAATTTATGCAAGCGCTGTTCTGCTGAGGGCTAAACTAATAGAACAACTCATTTGCCACCAGTCAAATCCTGGCTTTTCAGGTCTCTATGGCACACAGACTGCTTAAATCACAAGCCAGCTGGACTCTGGAGCTGTGCATGTCAACTACAGGTTGAGATTATCAATACCTCCAAAAAGACTGTGCCATAGTTGTCCAAGATTGCCTGCACACTGACCAGCAGCTCTTCATACTAAAGAAAATTTGGTTTTTCGTATCACTAGTCTCTATTAGATGGAATAAAAGTTGTTTGTATTTAAGTTCTTTACTGTTAAAAAGTAGCAATGGCTGTTCACCTTTAGCTCAAGAAGTCAGGCTAAACTTCTATGGAACAAATATTTTTGTTTTATCCCCAATGCCACCATGAAATATGAAGAGATTCTGGCACGTAGGATCACAACAGCCTTGAAATTCTTGGTGGTTATAGATTTGTTGCATTGGAATTTGAACTGCAGGAATCTCAGATGCTCCAAAATTAGTTATCCAAATAGAAGTGTGTGTATCTGAGATGCAATGGACACACACTGCACTGAACCTGGGGAGAGTCAACTGACTGTCCTGGAGATAGCAGCTGAAGTTGATCCTAGAACACTTGTCTCCAATAAAAAGTCAGGAGGGAATTATAAGGGAGGATGCTAGTTTCAGGGTTAACCTAAAAGACAGTTTGCATTGGAGGGAGAGAGCGCCTAGGGGGTGGGATGATCTAGGATCTGTCAGAAGAGCTAAGTCGAAAGAACAGGCTTGGATTGGACTGAACTGGACTAGATATCATGCTGTCTGACCCTTACTTTGTCAATGAAGTCAAACCTAGGAAGTGGCTTTTAAACACCAGCACTGGGACTGATGTTTAAAGTTGGTGGTAAAGACTCACCACAGTATCGCTACCCTATGTGTAACAAAATTGTAACTGGACTGCACATAAAAATGAACCTGAGGCCTTATACTGCTAGTGACTAAAAGATTTTTCTTTGTTCTATGGACTCGGGATTTTTGGAGCAGAAAGATGAATTTTTCTCTACTCTTCTAAAGTTTCAGATGGTCTTGATGTATGTTGTAGTTACAACTGTGACCGCTTACACACCCATTAATTTATTGCAATATTGACTCTTAGTAACTGTGTAAGTTCTGAATTGAAATGTTAAAGTATAAGCATTGAGATCTTTGAAATCTGCATGTTGCTTCTCTACCAACTTGCCCCTAACCAGATCTTATTCTTTTAATTAGCAACCCCCGCCCTGTATTGTACAAAGACAATCACTGTAAGCAACTGTTGTTCTTGCAACAATTGAAAACGTACCATGCGTTCATGCCCTGTGGATCTCTGACAATCCTCTTTGCACAATTAACAGCTACTGTAATATCTGGTTGCAGTAACTCTAAGAAAATGAATATACAAAATAAGAACAGTGGCAGGAAGAAATAAAAAAAAAATCAACATTTTCCCATCATTTTTGATTCAGTAATCTTAAAAATGATCCTCAAATTAGCGCATATTGATTAATTATGTTTATTATAGTAATGTCTGAGGACAAATTGAACATTGAGCCCCATTATGCCGTAGACCATACAGAAAGAGTAGCAGACAGTTTTTGTCCTGAATGCTTGTAATTTAAACAGACCAGACAGACACTGAGTAGAGAAAAAGGGTATAACACACACAGGGTGCATCTACATAAGACCCTTTACTGTGCAGCACACTAATAGGCTGTGCAGTAAAGCGTCACTGTCTACACATGCACAGCTTTTACTGCGCAGTAAATTAGTCTACTGCACAGATGGCTACCACCTGTAGATACTGGTAGTAGATTAACTACACAGTAGCACATGTGTAGATAGTTGACCGGGAGCAAATAGTTCCCGGTCAGCCCAAGCAGCAGGGGACAATCAGCAGATCAGGGCACTGTGCTTGGAAACTGTCCCTTCCCCTGAGCAGCTGCTTCCCAGTCCCGCACCTAGATTGGCCAATTGGCGAGCAGTTCTGGGAGGCAGCTGTCCTGGAGGTGGCACATCTTCCAGAGCCAAGACCTGACCCTTGTGCCATTTGCCAACCTGGGGATGGCACCTGGGGGACCCTGGAGTTCTGCCTGGCTGCTGTAGGAGACAGAGCAGGGCAAGAGTAGCTCTGCACTGAAGTACTCCCATTGTGAGCAAATATGCTCCCATCAGGCACACGTGCATATGCCCCCCCTGGGGAAAGCTAACTGCACCTTATTTTCCTGAGCAATCAGCTTACAGTGCATTAATAGCATGTGAAGACATGCCTCCAGAGAATAAATAATGGTAGCAAATGTCATCTTTGTTGCATAATCTAGTCCTAATTCCAAAATCCTCTTCAGTTTATGAGTCAACTATTCCATAACTGGACCTGTCTACATGTTCATTAATGCACAGTGCCCACTGTGAATCAAATTTAGTACTTGTATAATTAAGTACTAAGTAAATGCACAGTAAGCTGCCTTACTGTGCATTGGTGTGATTACACACTTTTTGTGTGATGCTTAATGTGCAGTAGACTACTGTGGATGAGTGAATTTCACCCTCTAGAGAGCAAAGTTAACTCTGCTCAAGCCAGTGCTACCTGGTAAGTAAGACCTTGCTGCTCTGGAAGGGAGGCACAAATGTTTTTTAATCAAGAAACTTAAAAGAAAGTCTTAAAAAAACTGAACACAAATCCTGATAGAAAACATCCTTGAGGAGTGCTCCTTTTTATGCCCCAGTGCATGACCATAAATTGCCATGCCTCCCTTTTGACTGAAGAATAAGGGTTTTAGTTTTGTGTTTAAGGGAGGGCTGCTAGGTTCCCACAACTGTCCTTCAGTTATACATTTGCAACCCTGGGGGACAACTGCAGTATAGAAGAGAGGAATATGCCCTTCATAGTGTCACCTGTGCACTGGATTCTGCATGCATTCTTGGCTCTTGGAGTCTTGCCATCATTGCACCACCAGCGGCTGTTGATTTGCAAAATCCCATAATCCGTGCTTCTGTCACCAGGGTTATAGTTTACTGCATTTGTGTTAAAGTTGCTCTCGTATTGTGCTGTACACACCCCTGGCAAGGTTCCATTTGAAAGAAGAATGAGTAAAAAGACTGCTACATTTACCTTATTAAACCTCCTCCCAAGTTATGCAGCCGATTCCAGGATAAAAATATACGTCTCCTCTCCTTATATTATGCAAATAATTGATACAGAATGTGTACACATGTTGTTCGTTCTCTCCTCTGATCAAATTCATAATCTTATTAAATAGGAATGTAAGAAAAAACATTTTATAATTTAGACATCCAAAAATGTGGATGTCATATGATGAGTGTGGGACCTATATCACTGAAATTACATTTGGGATCTATCTGTGTTGTCTTAATGGGCACAAAGCTTATTATAGTCAGATGGAACATTCCTCCCTGTTTTCATCAGACAGGGTCAATAGTTCCTTCGCCATTTAGCATAAATATATCTAAATTAGTTTGGTTATAAGAAGTAGTTTTGGGTTTGAGATGTGCAGAGCTGTATGGACAACAAACAAGTTTAACTCTTTGAATTCTGTATCAGAACATGTATCTATCACCCTTAAAACTGATTTCTTAATGGTTTCCTTATCACTGCTGATAATAAGTGAAGAAAGGCACTTCTGTTTTATGAAACCCAAACTCGTTGCAAATGCCATTAGATTTGTTCTCCCCTCCACCTCCCACCATGCTCCCAGCTCTTTGGTGCTTTTTGCTTTCTTTCTCCAAATATTCTTCATTTCTTGCTCTCTACAAACCTAGTGTCTCCAATGAATTTCCTTCTCCACCCCACATTGTCTAATGATACTCTGTATACCACACATATTCTAAATGAGGGTTTCAGGCCACTGCTGATTGTACTTCTACTGTTAACAGGGCTCCCACCATGGCCTCATGCCGCACTCTGCATTCTGTGTCCTCCTTACTCCTATGGAATCATCTTTCAGTCCTACTACAGTAAGTCTCATAATACAGCAGAAAGTGAGAAGGGTTCAGGCACACCAAGCATAGAAAGGAATGACTGAGGGATGAACAGAGGGTCTGAGTGTGAAGGGTGGGGTGGAATTGGGAGAAGTAGTCATTTAGACTGGTATAGCGAGTTAGTTCTGCTAAGTGGGGAAGGGAGAGGGAGAGACTAGATAACCTTACGTGGGATTTATGAAAAGGGTACATCACCCTCCCACCCATAAACCATGTTAAAATCACAAGGCAGCAGACTTACAGTCTCCCAAACTGTATCCTGGAACGTTAGCCAGCCCAAGCCTTTTCATGACTGCAGCCAGCTCGCACCTTCCATAGATCTTCCCATGAGCAGCCAGGGGCAGGAGAAAAAGCTCCAGAAAAATCAGAGCCTTCATGTTAACAGTGTCACACACCCAAGCTCCAAGTGGTGAGACTGTTGGCTCACCGGCATCTGTCTCTTCTTTTAATATCTTCTGCCCTCCCCCAATCTGGAGCTACGTAGATATTGACCACCAAAATATTCTGGGTATTTCCCAATACACATGGGGTAAGTGCCAGTACATTAAGATCATTTTACTATGGTGGGAACTGGCTGGTTCAGTCATATGACAACTAGATATAGCCTTTTATTCCTGGAGCCTTACTTCAAATATGATTCAGAACCTAAAGCCCAGACGTCACAACAACCTGATGGCTTTGACCGTGGAGTCAATGATCCCAGTCCAGTACCTGTTGGATTATTATCCATAATTCCACAGAACCCAGGACCAACACTAGTCTAGCCCCTTTGCAGCTCCCAAATATGACATGCACCTTGTTTTTGGAAGGCAGAAATGTGCAAAAAATATATTTCTAGTCACAGCTAATTATATGACGTGGAGTAAGTCCTCCTAAAAATGCAGAGGGCCTAGGTAGTGTGGCATCTCGGGAGACAACCTGTGTGAAGCAGCAGGAACTTCCAGGAGTGGCAGGACAGCAACAAGACTAGGCTCCATATTTTTTGCAAGGACAGTAGCAAGACTGTTACTTCTTTACAATAAATAGTTCATATGTTTTCCTATCATTTCTATACCACATGCTTCATCAAGATACTATGTACTACATGCAGCAGCTCACTTGCCCTGTGCCAGCTTGTCTGCTCTTTCAGGCAGAAGCTACGGTGCTCAGCCAAAGACTACAGCAAATTCTTTAACACTAAACCTCACCTCTGCCGCTTGCTGAGCCAGAAAGGACTGGCAGAAATTCTGGTCGCTATTAGAGCACAGCATCTCCCTGCTTCTAATCCAGCAACAAAAAATCAGTTTCCACACTTAGGACATGCCGCTCCAATTTTGGAGGTTTTATTTTTGGGGAAAGGTTCATTTGGTATGTGAGAAAAAACCAGCACCCTGTACAAAATAAGAAGATAACCACCACAAACCTCACACCTTTAGCTGTCACACATTGCACTGGAAACTCCAAGGTAGATCATCAAGCCATTACAGTGTATACCTTGAGAGAAATCTTGCCTGTCTGCAGCCCCTCGTTTCCCCACCCCGCTTCAAACCCCATCCCACTCTTTGCTTTCAGACAGCTTCCAACCCTCACCCAAATCATCATTAGAAGCAAACTCCCCACTGAACAACAAAAAAAGAAAGAGGAACCCTGCCTAAACAGCAAGTGCTGTGGGTGAGGATGAAATATATTTTGTGCAATATGTTGTTATTTGGTTTTGCAACACATCTCTACTCTGACTACTATATACTCCACAATCAGAATCCATGGATATTATATGTGATGACCACAGAATGAGATATATCTCACTAAATGCACTAAATGCCTTCATGGAAACTATGTGGGTAAAACTAAACAGCCACCACACTCCAGAATGAACTCTCAGAGAATAATGATAAAGGACAAAAACTAGCACAATAACCAGTAGGAGAGCAACAGAGGGGGAGTTTGTTTGCTTGGTCAGTCATGGCAGGAGGGAGCCAAGAATTAGGAGGCTCTGTATATGTTTGCATGTGGGTGCACAGGTGTGTCTGTTTGTGTGTGTCAGGGTGAACTGGAGGGGGAGGGCAGGAGAAGAGGGGTATCCCTCTTTTCTTCTTTTTCTTTTTTCAGTTTTTAACAGCCTAGGCATTGTCCAGGGATTAAAGGAGGCATAAAAGGACATTGAATCAGCAGGTCAAACCTGTGTGAGAAGTGCCATGTTCATGTTCCAACAGAGGCTTAAGACTATTTCATCTGTAGTAAGTATATATTAGTGTCTATCTTGGAGGAACAGAATGAAGGGTTGGAAGTGCAGGTGTCCATGCCGCATGCTACCAAGGAAAATGAAGACTTCTTGAATAGGTGTCATGAGACGTTACCACTGGAGTGGCCAAAGGAGAAAGGAAACGTGGTAACATATGACTGCTAGAAGGAAGGTTCCCAGAATTCAAGAAGAGCAGGTTCAAGTCAGCAAGTGCTATTAAGCACTCTGGTGTGGAACAGATAAGGAAAACACAGAGCTGAGGACATCAGCAGCAAGATGCAGAGGACTAAGCAGTCTAGAGCAGTGGTCTCCGAAGTGGGGTGCACGCACCCCAGGGGGTGCGCAAGATGATCCATTGGGCAGAGGGAAGAAAATATTAGAACTTCTATTTCTATGTATTTTTTATCTAAAAAATAAGAAAGAAATTAAGCTTTACTAATATTTAATATATGGATTGACACTGGCACCCTCACTCGGTCTGTATGTCAGACGGTCACGTGTCACGTATGGTACGCGTATATAGTTTTTAAATAAATAAATATACATATATTGGGGGTGCATGGTCAAAAATTTTTTACTGATAGGGGTGCATGATCAAAAAAGTTTGGAGACCACTGGTCTAGAGAGCAGGCAGTACAGGACCCCAGGCATGGGGATCTAAGAACACCGTACCAAGAAGAAACAGAAAAGTAGTGGTGATTGGAAAGGGGGCACAGGACAGGACCAAAAGCACCAGTTTTTTTCTGGATGTGGGGTCTTGGGACATGTACCTGGAACCTGTGTTGAGGATGTTAAAGAAAGACTGCCAAAGCTCCTCCTTCCCTCTGATCACTACCCCTTCCTGCTTGTCCATGTAGGCACCAATGATACTGCCAGGAACAGTAGTGAGCAGATCAGAGGAGACTGGATGTGAGGTCATGGACTAAAAAAATCATGGACTAAATATAGACATTGGATTTATGACTCATTATAACCTGCCTGACATCTGACTCCCCAGATACCTCTCCACTATTTACCTGCTACATTAATTTCATACCTCTCCCCCCTGCCCTCCTCTCACCCACTGACTCCTCAACTTACATCTTCACTGACTGCCTTTCTTGCATACATGCCAGCCTCTGCCTTCTTTACTATTCATTCCATCCAGGAAGAGCACATACACCAACTGCAGGTGCTTCCTCAGCCTGACAAAGGGTTTTTAAACCTGAAAGCTTGCAAAGAAATTTTTTTCCAACTATTTAGTTGGTCTAATAAAAGATATCAGATTCACCCAAAGAACCTTGGCAGACTAGCCAGTCATACCCAGTCTGTATTCGTGCATGGATTGGTCTATCCTAACTGCAGGACTTCTAATTCTACTTCTGTCCTACTCTCATTCAGTTGATTTTGGACCATCTCCCCACTTTATCAAGGTCATTCTGAATCCAAGCCCTATGCTCCATAGCTTCTGCAACTCCACCCAGCTTGATGTCATTTACAAGTCTGCTAAGCGTGATGCCATTCCCACTCTTTAGCATGCCTAATTCATTGCTAAAAACCTTTAATTTTTTAAAGAATAATTTTGGAAAAGGAAGTGGGGTCCAAGAACACAGGAATAGAAATAAGGAACCTATTTCAACCTCATGCAACATGCCGACCATGAGGTGCCTCCCTCTCATCTGCTGTTCCAGGTTTTTTTCTGGTCAGATCTCATGAAGCAATGTCTGGCATTTAAAACCTTGTCTAATTCTAACTACATCCCATGGGTCCAATAAAAGATATAATCCAAAGAAACCCCTGCTTCCCTCTCTCATCTAACATTTTTATGAAGCACACACATGAAAGGTACATCTTGTACTCTGAACATGAACAGAAAGACTGCAAGCAGTGAAGGGACCACCACACTTCCAGTCATACAGCTGACTAAGGAGTGAGGTGAATTGTCTCTATGGTCAACCTGCAGGATATTTTCTTTTTTAGATTTGTATGGATGAATGGAGAGTTCATGGTTTGGGCAGGGTTGCCATCTGCCCCTAAGTTTACAGACAGTCCCTAAATAACAAGCCTAAAAATAGCTGTCTGCAAAGTCTGTTAAAAATTGGAGCAGTCTGTAAAAAGAGTAAGCAACATTGCTTGATGGTCTCTGAAAAGGCTTGATGTTGAAGCAGCCAATTGGTGCTCAAGCAGGAGTGCAGCACCCTGCATGGAGCTCTTTCAGGGTGTTGTTGTCCATGAGTCTCAATAGTCAGCTCTTCCTCCAAGCCACATGGGGCTGCTGTTACATCTGGTCCCAGGTTGTAACTGCTGGGTTCCAGCTGCACAGGGATGCACAGGCTCGGGCTGAATGAAAGAGGGTGGTGTGGCTGTAACAGAGCTGTGGGGTGGTGAGTGGGTGTCTGTGCCAGGGCAGGAAGATTGGGGCTTGGGGATAGCCGGGGGGGGGGCAGCAAGGTATCAGGGTGTAGGAGTGAGTAGGGGACCCCTGAGATGGAGGCAATCCCCAAAGTTTTTACTGACAATCATTATATATATATTTTACTATAGATGGCATTAAATCCCTAATTTTGAATGCAGTGCTTTTCCAGGTCCGGGCAGAAGGTTCCACTTATGTTTGGTAAAACATACATTAGTTAAAAAGTTTGCAAACAACTATCAGTAAAAAAAGAAAAAAAAAATCATGGTGGTGGTTGGGGATTAGTAACTGTGTTTGGGATCTGGGTATGCTCTCCACCTCTCCCACTCTGCATCTGGAAGATGTTGTTGAAGTGCAATGGTGTAACAGGGAACCCTAGCCCTGTTACCAGAAAGCAGGCCAGCCCCTTTAAGACCAGAAATTTCCAGGCACAGCCTGTTGGCAGGGTAGGGGTTAAAAGTGGAGCCCTGCCGGCTAGTCAGGTGACTAGGAGGGGGCAGGCCAGAACTATAAAAACCCTGGGCTGAGCTGGGTAAGGGGGCTTGGCTGCAGGGAGGGAGACTCCTGATGACTCCCAGAGAAGCTGTGGCAGCCCCACAAGAAGGAGCACAGCAGACAGTGGGAAGCAGAAGCATAGAGCCATGGAAAGCATGAGCTGGCAGACTGCCTCCTTTTACCAATCAAATCAAAATAAAATTATTTGGTGGTTTGTGGTTGAGGCTGTAGGGGAAGAGGAGAAGGCTTCATTAGTAGCATGGGGTTCAGTCATAAAAGGCCAAAAGGGGCCCAGTGCTCTAGTGGGTACAGATGCATAGGGCCAGAGACCCAGAAAGTATTAAAGAGCTACAGCCTCAGAGTCAAACCCTACCTGGTGGGTTTAGGCTGGTAGGCATAGCTAGAGAA